GGCCGGTCTCCCAGGGGCATGGGGCACAGGTCAGTCATTCTGTCACCAAACTCACAGGGTTCACCCTTGAGAGCCACGTCGAGAAGAAGATGTGGTTGTCACAAGGCAGTTTTATTTACTTGCAGCAACTGAAGGAGCCAGGGGATGCATATCCAAAGCTCTGCCTCCCAGAAGGAAGGCTTAGCGTTGCTTATGTAGACTATTTGTTTAATTACATGTTGATTTCTTCTTTGTGGTTGGCTACATTTACCAGGTGGGGTTTCTATCAAGCTCATCCTGTTTACAGGTGATCTGAAAAATACTGTGCCACATGATAATGTTTAGCAAGAATGGCATTTAATAAGAATAGCCTAGACCTTGAGACCCTTGTCCTAACATCCACCAGCACTACCAAATTGAGAGGTAGGTGTATTTTGTTGTTGTTGCTGTTCAACTGATTAGCTTAATTTTTACCAAATTAAAAAAAAAACGTGTTTCCCCACAATCAAAATTCATGTTTTGTCAATGAGCTCTGTTCTTCAAGGAAATGTTTAAGTTCCTTAGAGAAATCTTTGAGGGCTGTTGATTCAAATGCAAATGTATAGGAGCTCCTGGGGATATAATTTCTGCCTGGAAAGAAGAGCCTGGGCCAAGGTCAATGGTCTCATTTTTGTGTGTTTCTTCTCTGGAAAGAAGAAACAGAGGCGAGGAGTGGAGAGGGAGAAAGGAAAGGAGGGAAGGAAAGATGGAAGGAGGGAAGGAGGGAAAGAAGGAAGGAAAAAAGAAAGGAAGGAAGGAAGGAAGAAAAGGAAGGAAGGAAGGGAGGGAGGGAGGGAGGGAGAAGGGAGGAAGGAAGAGAGGGCGGGAAGGAAGGAAAAGAAAGAGTGGGGGGAAGAAGTGAGCTATGAAAAGTAAGGAGAGCAGTGCTGACAATTACAATGCAATGGCAATAATATGTAGGACAAAAGGGATCAAACAATGGCTCTTTCCAACCCCTCTCATTTACCAGATGGAAAAACTAAGCCCAGAAAAGTTAAGTAATTTGCCCATTTTAAACAGTTGTACGATGATAGAAGCAAGATCAGAAGCCAAAACTCTCAGTTCCGGACCTGGCCCACTTTCAAGTCTATATACTCTGCCTTCAGGTACAGGAAGGTATGTGTGACCTACCCTGTTTATTACAAAAGCCTTGACATTTAAAGGATTAAGCATGCGGATGATGCCTTGGGAGTATTCCTTCAAAAAAAACAGTTCTCTTGCCCTGGCTGGCATGGCTCAGTGAATTGAGGGCTGGACGGCAAAGTGAAGGGTTGCTGGTTCAATTCCCAGTCAGGGCACATGCCTGGGTTGTGGGCCACATCCCCAGTAGGGGGTGTGAGAGAGGCAACCACATACTGATGTTTCTTTCCCTCTCTCTCCCTCCCTTCCCCTCTCTCTAAAAATAAATAACAAAATCTTTTAAAAAGTAACAGGTCTCTCAAAAGAGGTAGATCAGACAAGGCTGGTGGAAAGAGGGGTCTACATGAGCTAGCTGACTCAAATTGGCTTAAGTAAGAAAGGGAATTTTGTTGAAAGTGCCATGGTGTGGCCACCTTCAGAGGAGGCTGCCAGCCAGTGGCTAAATTAAATCACAGAAGGTCCAGCTCCTCCCCATCTCCTTGTTCTGCCTGTGGTAGTGGCATTGTCTTTGTGGTCCTAAGTCAGAAACCCTCAGCACATCCCTTCCCTTCCCTGGACCACAATTCCCTGATGGGGGTGGTCACTGAATGAACTCTGAGTGCCCTTCCACCTCTAACAGTATCTCTCAAAAGGTAGACCACAGTCGTCTTCATTGGAATGGCCACTCAGAATGTTTGTTAAACCCTGCTGTTCCTAGTGCATCCCAGCTCAACTCCCACCAAATCATAACCTTGGAGGAGCCCAGGAATCTGCGGTTTCAACCAGCTCACCCAGAATGGCCCTGTGTCCACTGAAGTTCGATAAACATTTGTTCGCAAGATGAGAGCCTAGAACAAAGAGCAACCGGAGGCTGGTGAGCCCCATTCTGCCTGAGTGTTAAGAATGGTTTTTACATTTTTAAAGAGTTGTCAAATAAAATACTCACACAAAAAAGAATATGAAACAGAGACCTTATTGGGCTCACAGAGGCGAAAATATTTACTACCTGGCTCGTTACAGAAAAAGTTTGCCAATCCCTGGCCTGGAAAAATGAGGTCATTGGGTGGTGAAAACAAAGGCAGGGGGTGGATTTAATCAGTTTACAGGCCTGAGGCGGCCAAGAATTCCTGGGAGCAGGAATTTTCAGTGTTCCATCAGCTCCATGGAGAATCAAGCAAATACAAAAATAAAATGTGCTCAAGTTCTAGAATTTTGTTTTAAAAAGGTCTCTTCCAAGGGGACCTCCTGTAGCCTCTGGGTGGGCCACCCGATGTCTAATATTGCCATAAGGGCCAGCAGGGGTAAAGGCTCAGGAAAGACAGAGTCAGTCCCTGATCTGAAAGCCACCAGCCAGGTCTCCTTTGTACCATGGGGACCATTTGGAGACCAGCTAGTTATGGCTCTATGCCTTCTATGCCTTCCCTCCAGCTGCTGGGCAAACACACTCATCTAAGGACAGGGCTCTCAGAGAGTCATCCCAGGTCCACAGGTAATTTCCCAGGGGCTTGATCAAGAAAAGATCCCAGTCCTTTTTCAGATACTGGGCAAGGCAGGCTCTATTTTAGGGGCAAGAGTGGGCACACCCATGGCTTTGAGAGTTGGACAGGTGTAAGGTCTTGTTCAGCCCTTGAATTTAATCACTGTGACTTTAGACCTGCACTGACTAAGATGGTAGCCACGAGTCCCGTGTGGCTACTTTAAGTTCATCAAAACTAAGTAAAACTTAAACTTCAGTTACTTTGTCATAGTAGTCACAGTAGTAGTGACTAGTCAATTCACTGCATGTGGCTAATGGCTGTGCTGTCAGACTGTGCAGGTGCAGAACATCACTCCCATCATGGAGAAAGGGCCACTGGACAACACTGCTGCAGCCAGTCTCTGCCAGTCATTGCAATCCACTCTCAGGCCTCCTTTCCACCACCCTGTGGCCTCAGTATTCTAGGCTCCATTGCCTTAAGGTTGACCAAACACCAACCCAAGCCTCAATTGGCTCAGTTGTAAAATGGGCACAACAGCATGTCAGAGCTGCTGTGAGAATTACAGGAGACAGAACAGGTAGCACAATACCTGGCCCATAGGAAGTGCTCAACAAATGGCTCTTATTGTGACTGTAAAATCTCATGCTCATTATTATTGTTAATACTTGCCCCTCTTCCTCTAGGCCAGGGGTTCCCGAACTCTAACAGGCACAGGACTCTCCTGGAGGGCTTGTTAAACCCCACGGCTGGGAGGGCCCCCATTCAGAGTGCCCAATTCAGCAGGTCAGGGAGCCTGATCATTTGCATTTTTAACAAGATCCCAAGTTCTGTTGATGTGGCCGGGCCGAGAACCACACTTTGAGAAGTGCCCTTCTAGACAGCTCTTCTTAAGCCATTGCTGCCTGCTTGGTTGGGGAAGTTGCTTTGTGTGCATGTGTGAAGGTTGTCCTTTTTTCTAAACATACCATGGTAAGTGATCCACCTGCCCTCTACCCCAGAGCTCCCCCTTTTCTGCCGCTTTTCCAGCCCCGGATCAGACTCCGGCAAACCTGGCCAACAGCCTTCTTCCAACTTTCCACCTCCGGGTTTGTCACTCATTTCCCTGGGCCGCCTGCCTCCTACATTTTGTTTATTGTTTGTTTGCTCTAGCACGATAGTTCTTTGTTTTCCTGTCTGTGCTTCCTAAAGTGTACGAGATGTTCCACTGCTGGTACCTAAGGCCAGTTTCTGTGGTACATCTATAATTTTTAGATGGTTCTCAGAGAAACAAACAGCAGCGAACCACAACATGAGGAAGTTATTACTTTCAGTTTTTTCCAAACTTTGATTACATCAGGGGAAAGCCCCAGCCTGGGGCCCATGTGTCTTCACCCCTTGCTAACAGCCTTCCAGCTCAGGGCCTGAGTCAGGTTATTTGATCATCATCATCATCACCATCATCAAAACAATGGCAGCTTAAATGCAAATAGCGCTTTCTTTGTACCTGGCAGTGTTCCAACGGCTTTCCCTACATTCCCTACACATATTACTGATTAAGCAACTAATGCAGTTAATAATCCTCACAAACCTATGAAGTAGCTAAGATTATGACTTGCAGATGAAGAAACTGAGTCACAGAGAGGTTATGTGACTCACTCATGGTCACACAGCAGGAAAGTGGGAGAGGCAGGGTTTCAGTCTAGGCAAAGTAGCAAAATGTGCCCTTGACCACAGTGATCCTGGGCTAGAGTTTAATGATACTGTTTTGTTTTACCCTTGTCTTCTCTTTTGGACAAATATGTTCATTTTCTATTGAGATGGTGATAAAAAAATCTCTTTCGTATGTTATATGTCAATTATACCTCAGCTTAAATAAATAATAGATCAAAGAAAGATTTAAATGGACTAATGTACGGCAAAAAAGTGAGACAAGTGAAGCAGAAATATTTAGCACACAAGAGGAGAGCTGGTTCTTGGATGTGACAGCAGCTGTGAGGATGGTATGCACAGACTGAGGTTTGGGATGATGAGTCCAAGCTGGCCGTGAGCTCCCCAGGGGCAGGATCCTGTTGGTGTCAGTCAGGGTCCAGCCAGGGAACACAGGGCACACTCAGCAGCTCCACTGGAAAGAGTGTAATGAAGGCAGTGTTCACAGAGGTGCGGGGAGGCAGGAGGTAATGCCAGGGACTCGCCGCAGAGGGAGGCTGTTACCGCCCTGGAAGGAACAAGGGGAGAAAATGATATTACCAGATTATGGAGAGCGGAAGCCAGCTGTAGCGGTGGAAGGGAGGTCAGCAGACAGAAACTGTAGCCAAAGGGGAACCAGCTATGGGGGTGGGGGGCGGGGACCTGTTTCCCTTCTGACCTGTAATATCCATCCTGCCACTCCTGCCATGGACAGACTGCAACTGGAGGCCAGGGTGCAAAGAGCCCAGCGATGCAGTCAGGAAAGGTCAGCCTCTCAGACGCAGAGCAGGGCCAAGGGAAGCGGCCTGATAGCTGGGGCAGTGTGGTACACAGAGGGTGTTGCGCTGAATCGAACTGAACCAAATGGAGAAATGGATTTCCAGTAAAGGGTGCTGTGTGGTCAAGGCAACTGGACCCTGGACCTCTGGGGTTTCACTTCCAGCTTATCTGGGTGAGTGAATCATCAGATTTTGGTGACCTCTTGGGGGCCTGAGTCACACACATGCAGGAGGAGCTGAGTTGCTGGTGCATGTTAAGTGTTTCAAGCTGTAATTATATCCTCCACCTCCTCAGAGCGTCTAGACTAGATTGCGAGAGCTGGAAGAAAAAAATGACTGCAGCTTTCTGTGGTCCTTGAACAAATGGGAATTCCTGGCGGAGGCCCTTTTCCCAGAGCACACAGGAGCAGCAAATCCCCAGAAGCAGCAGCAGCCTGGGCCAGGAAGATGAAGAGAAAAAAGGAAAAGACGTGCCTCGCTGAAGAGTCTCAAAAGGAAAGAGATTCCAGTCAAGAAGTGGCTATCGGAGTGGAAGGGATTGTGTTGTGTTCTCCAGAAAAAATGCTCATGTGACCTACTATCAGTAATGTTAATAATAACACTGCATGTGCACCAAACATTTGTTATGGGCCAGACACAGTGCTAAGCATCTTACGTACTTGGCTGCACTTCATCTCTACAACCGCCCTATGAGGTGAGTACAATTCACATTATTTCTGAAAAGAGAAAAATGGAGCTTAGAAAGGCACAGAAAACAGGGTTGTAGCTACAACTGGTTGAACATTTATTATAAGCCTGGCACGGGGAAAAAGCCCGTCAAGAGGCTGAGGGCACTTTCTAAAGGGCAGCCAGCTGGAAGTGAAGAGTCACCCAGCTACCCTCCCTACTCCCGCTCCCGGAGGCCCCGGATCCCAATCTCGGGCTGGTGCCTCAGAAGTCCATTCCTATATCAGGGGCAAGTGCCCAGTAACGAAGAGGCTGGTCTCCACTCCATTCCCTTAAAAAGTTTCTTCCTCACCTTTCTCTCAGGCCCTCCGCCCCACTGATCAAACATAGCCGTGTGGGCCCCTCATCCAACCCGGTGCTATCGTAACTGAGAGGCAACATGGTTGCCTTTTAACAGGGGTCTCCAATGAGGGGATTTCCCACAATATTAAGGAACTGATCTACCTCCTCGACTGATTTTTCTCCAGTCTCTGCTACAAATACCTTTCTTTTAATTTTTAATTGTAAAGGGTGTGGGTAACATAATGGGCTCAAAATAGTTCTTCACTAAAGAGTGATCACTATTATTTGGCAACTAATCAGACAGTGCCCGAGCATTCCCTGCATCACCATCTGGAGCTCACCGCTGTCTTGAGACGACAGACTCGCCTCCATTTGTGGAGCTGCCTCATTTAGTGAAAAAATGAAATACCGAAGGAAAAATGGAAAAACAGGATGATGTAACAGGTGATGTATTTGAAATGTTTCATTTAATAAATCAATGCTTTAAATGTGCATACACATGCAAACCCACAATACAATAAAATTGTGCAATTGACAATATAATAATAATTACAAGACTTACGAAAAACAAATAATGCATTGGGCCTGCCTTGCATAGGCAACGTGGCCTGGTGAGGAGACCCAGCTGTGGAAGACTTTGCGATGTACAGAGCCTTCTTTCGGGCATATCAGTGAAGCTCAGTGACGCACTGGCATCATTTGGAGATTAAAACAAAAGTCTAAAGTTGGTTTTTGTTGCCAAATTGCCTTCCTCAGGTACATCCTCCCTTTACCAACACCAATAGATTCTGGTTGCTATTAACCTTTATTTATTTATTTTTTTTGAATATCAGCATTTTCCCACAACTGGGCTTCCCAACCACAGTAAAAGTGTCATACATACAACTGTAACTTTTTATGCTTATAACAGACATGTAACATACTAACTGAACGACTGATATTTGTTGAATATCAAGGTTTTATTAAAGGTTCTAGCTTAAAAAATGTACTTTTCTCCACTGTAACTTGTCATTTTTTTCTATATCCTCCCAAGATATGCATCTATTCTCCAAGCCTGATCTATCTTATTAAAGGAGAAAACCTCAAATCAATCTTTTTTTCTTTGCTTTCTGTCCAAACCCTTTTGAGCAAGAGCATCACCTTTTCCTCCTCTCCCCAGAAGCCTAGCGTGGCTTTCTCCACAGATGCTCCTTTCCTCCCTCGCAAGGCAGACACTGCCTTGCATTGTTACTTCAGTTGATCCAATGTGACTAAAGCATCAGATGCACTTTCTGTGAACATTCAACCTCTGATCACTGAGAAGCAAGAGGTCTGGGTGACGGACTCTGGCAAGAATCTTCTCCCATCTGGTTCTAGTTCAGGGCTGGCCTTTGACGGGCCTCCGTCTCACACCAGGACTCCAAGCGGGTGTGGAAGCCGCTTGGCTCTCTGGCAAGTTGAGTGGGTCCGTGGAGAGCTGTTTATTTTTCCGAACAAGAGCAATGAGGCACTGGTGTCTCGGCATCATGCAGATTTAAGTGTATTACCAATTTCTCCCAAACAGGTATGTCTTATTTGACTTAAAGAACTGTCTGTTGGCATCAGACACAAAGGTTCTCCCAAATTACGACCTGCCTATAAGGATATAACAGTAGTTTTAAAGATAGAAGCAACTGGTGTCTCCACACATTCTCCGAGGATGTCGTAAAAGATCCATCCTGTCCTTGTTGTTTTCTCATTCTGTTCCCTTTGGTTGAGGCCATCATTTCTTGTCTAGAAAACAATAGCTTCCCAAAGTCTCACAGGTTCGATTCCCAGTCAGGGTACATGCCTGGGTTGCAGGCCATGACCCCCAGCAACTGCACATTGATGTTTCTCTCTCTCTCTCTACCTCCCTCCCTTCCCTCTCTAAAAATAAGTAAATAAAATCTTTAAAAAAAAAGAAAAAGAAAACAATAGCTTCCTCATTGGTCTCCCTGCCTCCTTTCTCACCCCTTACCAAATTTCTTCTTTTTATTTGCTGCCAGAACAATTGTTTTTGATACACAAAATCTGAGTATGACCACCAGCCCCCTTCCCCTTGATCAAATACCTGCAGTAGCTCCTCACTGCCTATAGGAGAAAATACACAGTCCTTAGCAAGCATACAAGGCTCACTGTAACAGAGGGAGTAGAAACTGGTGGAATCTATAAATGGAATTCTTTTCTTTTTTAAGGAAGCTGAGGCACACCAGACATAGCATGGTACACACTAGGCCCATGGGGACAGTTTAAAACCCTCACTCTAGGTGTTCACTCTGGCCAGTCCCAGTGCCCGCACCTCAGCCCGCACCTCAGCGCCATGAGATTATTTATCTCATGGAACTTGGTTCCGAACTACTATCCTCCAAGCATCTTTCCTTAGTAGGGAGTCTGGGTTAGGTGTCATGGCCCTGGCTTTCAAAGCCATCTGCAGCCCCTATGTGACAGCAGTGACCACACTGTCACTTGCGGGGCTCCCCCCTTGGACCGAGGCTTCCTTGATGAAGATGAATATCTTACTCCTTTTTGAGTAAGTAAGTATATAGAACAAATATTTATAGTGGGCATGTGTTTTGTCTACCCAGGACCTCCTCTTCCCCTCTCCTAGAAAGAGCAGCTGCTAGCCCCCTTCCTCTTTAAGGAACTGACCTTTTCCTGCACCTTATGGTCCTGACCATGTTGCTAAACCAGATGATCCCAGCCCCATCCTAGCAGAGGGCACATGACTCAAGTTGGACCAACCAAATTCTTTTACCTGGGAATGGGAAAGGTACAAAAAGGCAACTGGAGCTATGGCATCAGGTGGGAGCTCTCTAAAGGGACCACAAGTGCCCTAGCTCCTGGATTTTATTCTTCTCAAGGCTGTGGTATCAGTGAGCTTTTGCTGGGTAACAAATAATGCCAAAATTTAATAGCATAGAATCATATCCTTTTATTTATCTCAAAATTCTAGAGGTCAGTAATTTGGGCTTGGTAAGCTGAGCATTTCTCCTGGTCTTAGAAGGATTTGCACATGGATATCTGTGATCAGCTGTTGGTGAACTGGAGGTTGGTTGCCTAGGGTCACCTCAGCTGGGATCATCTCTGCTCTCCATGGTATCTCATTTTCCAGCAGTCTAACCTGATCTTATTCACGTGCACCTGGGTGGAGTTCCAGGAGAGGGAATGGAAGCACACGGGGCTTGCTGAGACCTGGGCTCACACTTCAACATCAACATCTCCAGTGCATTCTATTGGCCAAAGCAAGTCACAGGAGCAGCCCAGATTGAAGGGAGTGAGAACTCATATCTACTCCTTGATGGGAGGAGCTGCAAAGTCACAAGGTGAAGGGAGTGGATACAAGAGTGGAAAACTGTGGTCATATCTGCAGACGACCACAGCTTTGTTGTTCAGTTTCCTGTTAGTTTTCCAATGCCTCCTTTTTTAAATAAAGGTCCTATATGTCAGCTTCTGTTGTTTGCAATTTAAAGACCATAACTTATGCATGCTTGGAAATGAATGAATGAGGATATGTTACAGTGGGCCCAGTGTCATCCAAGGGAGAGTGTTACAAAGAGGGGAGGGGAGAAGGGTGGCAGACCGCATCACGGAGCTGAGGAAGCTGCAGAGGATGCTGTGTGCTGATTGCCTGAGAGCATGCGCCTCCGAAGTCTTCATACTACTTTCCCTCCCATCTCCCTAACTCACCCCTGTGGTCACAGCCACCAACAGCTGGAAATCTCTCTGAGAGCTAGACGTGGAGAATAAGCCTTTCACTTGGAACTGCTCTCTTGTTACCACCCAAACTGAATTTGAGACCCTGATTGTTTGTAATAGGTCACTATCCTCAGTTGTAGGTTAATAGAGCCACATTTTATATTTAAGATTAGTTTAAATACAGGACATAACGTTGTTAAGGAAAGGGTTTTTCGATAATGGAAAAGTCTGAAGGTTGAAAGGATCCTGAGTTATGACCCAGTGTTCCTCAATTTAAGTCCTTTTCACCCCCCACTTCCATACCTTTCCCAGAAAATTTCTGTTTCCTTAGGAGTGGAGCATAAGGATGTTAGGAGAGCAAAAACAGTTTCTATAATTAAATAACACTGAACTGTGAATGATTGATATCTCATATGCCTCAGTTTCAAGGATAATTTATAATGTTAAGGGGAAGATTTCTTAACTCAGAAATATTTTTTTATAAGTAAAATCCCAGCAAATATGAAGGAGAGGTCTTTAGGCAGTTATGGTGAGGGGGGAGGGTTGTTGTTATTTTTTGTAGTGGTGGTGGTGATATAAATAATGAAAAAATAGTATCTGTGTATAGATAGGACAGTGGATTTTTGTCATGCTTAGCACTTTCTCTTCTTTGAGAAGGCATGGTCACCTTGGCCTTCAGAATATTCCAGAAATTGGTGTAGTAATTTATAATGACAACCGATGAAAATGGGAAGTTCCTCAAAGTTCTTGCAGCCTTAAACCCAACCTTTGAGAGTTAAATAGCACCCTCAGATAAAATGATTGCCCTGCGGTTCTTTGAGTGCTTCTCACCATCTGTAAACCACAAGACTGTCACTCAAAGTGCTGAGATTCACATCTTTGCGGGTGAGACAAGGAGGAGCCATATCTGCTCTCACGAAGTCTCAGGCTCGGGCCATGCGCCAGGGCAGCCAGATAGGATCTCCAGGGCTGAGCGGGATGGTGCGATGCTCCCTGTGTGGGAGGCCTCCTGGGGAGGCAGACTGGTGACCTCACTGGGAAAACGAAAACAGTTCAATAAAAAAGACTTATCTTGGAAATGATCTGCCTGAATCTGAGACCAGTGAAGGGATTATATTTCCAACACCCTTTCAAAGAAAAAGGCCATTCTCCATTAATCCTGTATAGGGAAGAAATCCCACAGTGCTTCTACTTGACTAAAAGATGATGATTCAGGCAAAAAGGATCTCAACTCCAGGTCTACACAAAGACACAGTAAGGGGATCTCCCTTAAAAGAACAAATTAGAATGTTTTCCTTCTCAGACCAGAGCAGTGATGTGCTCCTGGGAAGCACAACTCTGGGGAAGACCCAAGGATACAAGTAACCTCAACTTTTGACCTCTGATACTTTCCTTCCCTCTGGGATTTCTTTCATGATACCTCGAATGCTGCCGATGAAGACATAGAGTGTCCCAGGGTCTACAGCCTCAATGCAGACAAAGGAACAAAGGTTGGACATTTCAAAAGGACTTGTACCTAGTATGCAAAAATACAGTAGGCAGATTGATGTCAAAGTAATCTAGATGCAATATCAGGCTGAAAGCAGGCTTCTGATTCCCCTCTGGTGGACCCGTTTTGTTCTGTTCTGAGCCCCGTTCCTTGCCTAAAGGCCTCTCTCAGCAATTCTTAGTCTCGAAGCCCTTGGGCATGTATCTTTCAGGGAACTGGGAGGACCAGCCCTAGTGATAGGTAATTTGGTGGGGATTTCATGTTCTATCAACACTAGTATAATATTATCACCTTTGCAAGAGATATTTACAGGAAATTAATTCATTATAGTGGGCAACATCTCTTCTCTGTTTGGCATATAGTATGTTTGGGCCCAAGGCCTCGGTTTTATTTGCAAAGGGTTCTGGCTAGAAGCATCTGATAGAGTACAGTTTGATTTGGCTTCACCTGAGGTCTTCTCTTGCCCACAAGTTTCTTAGCTTCTGGAACTACAGGCATTTCTGCCAATTTAATAAAAAGCTTCTTTAGCTTTCTGCCCAAATAAAAAATCGGACCCAAGACAATCAGACTATGTGTTTCAGAACCTTCTATGAATATGACAAATCTTAGGAGGCCCCTGGCTCTGACTTTGCTTTGAGAGCTAGAAAGCTCATACTCAAATCTGCCATTCTCCCTCAGTGAGTGTGCAAGACTTTTGGGTGTATAAATGTTTGAGTCTAACTTTAGATTGGATTCACTTTATTCTCACTTTTCTCTCTTGAATTTATCTCTTTAACAATTTTTGTCCATTTCTAACTATGCAGTTTTGTCAGCTACCTTAATTATATTTTTCCATCACCTTAGCATCAGAAAAATTCTCTAGAACTTAAAAAGCAGTTTCTGGATGTTCTCCTGGGGTGGTGCTCTTCTTGATAATCTATTATCTGAGCTGTTTTATAGCCCTGTCAGGGCAGAGGCTAACTCGTACATTTTTGTATGGTTAAGATGGAAATAATTCCTCTCCCATGCAACAGATAATCTCAGAATTTATGACTTCTGACAAGGTTGGACAACAACCAGTTTTGTATCTAACTTACCACTCAACCTAACATTGGATACCTAGCTTCTGAAATGCTATTTGAACTGGTTTTAATACATTATAATTTCCTTCAGTAATTAATAAGTTAAATATAACCTCTGACACACCTTATATATGTATAAAAATAATTTTTTTAACTTCTGAAAAAATACCATAGCAGCAAATAGAAAAAAATGGGCAACACTATGTATTTGTCAAAATCCATAGAAATGTTCAGTATGAAGAGTGAATTTTGACATGGGCAAATCAAACATAAATCATTTAGGAAGTCAAGGAAATCTCAGATGGAATGCAAAAGGTGACCAAAAAAAAAAAATTCTGCCTGAACTGCAAACGTATGAAACATAGCTCAGTGAAGGCGGCGGGGGGAAAGGTACTGACCTAAGTAATGAAGGTAGTGGCATCTGTGGCATCTGTAGGACTAATGGAAAAAGTAACTGCACAGAGTATTGTACTCTAGTTGATTAAATTGTCTTCTGCAGGAATATAGGTTAACAAATCTCCAACCACTCCATGCATATATACTGGAATTTACAATTAAGTACATGAATAGCCAATAATAGGATCCAGGTTTCTTACTGTTAGAGAGTCTATAAAGAAGCAAGAACTATCTGGCGTAGCTCAGTGGATTGAGCGCGGGCTGTGAACCAAAGCATCGCAGGTTCGATTCCCAGTCAGGGCACATGCCTGGGTTGCAGGCCATGACCCCCAGCAACCGCACATTGATGTTTCTCTCTCTCTTTCTCCCTCCTTTCCCCCTCTAAAAATAAATAAATAAAATCATTAAAAAAAAGAAGCAAGGAAAGGAGGCTGGAAGAGACTTGGAGACATCAGTATGAATTCATGTTAGGCTTAACACAGATACAGATAGTTACATAGAGAAATAACAGATACATGGGTCACTATACATACATATAATTCCTTCTCAGCTGAGAGGGCCTGGCACTGGCAACACTCCTGTTGCAATGAACACACCTAGCACACAGATTTTGCTTTCTAATACTATTTTCCAATAAAAGAAAATAAGGCTTTTGGAGAAATGGCTGATTTTAGAACTGACACAGAAATTCTGTAAGATGAGCCTGAAGCATCATATAGTGTTAAAAAGTAAGCAGTTCTCAAATAAATGAATGAATGAATGAATGAATGCATGAGTGAATAAATGAATGCATGCATGCATAAATGAATGAATGAAAACATGGAGCTGTGTCAAAGGGATACAGGAGCCCAGTGACAGAGTTCCTAATGGCCAAAGTTGAAACAATTTAAGCAACAAAGTAAGTGGTGTGATATTAGATTATAACTCAAGTATAAAATAAATTTTGAGTCCATACTGACATAAATAAATAATTGAACCAGTAAATAGGAGAGATAAGACAGAGCTTACAGGCAAAAGAATTTCAAATAATGTATGTAAATACTCTGCCCTCAAGGAGGTGAAGCTAACGCACAACTCCCCATATCCTTAAATGTGTACTCTGTGCAGTGACATTCTTACAAAGAATACAGCATGAAAAGGGAGTGGGAGAGTAAATTTACAATGGAGACACCTGACAGACACTACCTCCACCAAGATATCAAGGTCAACATCGACAGTCATAAAATATGTTAACAGTATGTACCTTTTATATGATGTGATAAGAATGGCACTTTACCTCCACACTCTCCCTCCCATAAAACCACAACCCCGGTCTAATGATGAGGCAAACGTTCAACCAATCCCAGCTGAAGACGAGTTTACAAAATGCCTGTCCTGTATGCCTCAAAACTATGAAAGTCATCAAAAATAAGGAAAATCTCAGAAACTGGCACCAATCAGAGGAGCCTAAGGAGAAATGGCAACTAAATGTGCTTTGGCATCCTGGATGGGACCTTAAAATAGAAAAGGAGACATTAGATAAAACACTAAGGAATTCTGAGGAAATGGTGGAGTTTAGTCAATAATAATGTATCAGTATTGGCTCATTACTTGTGACAAATATACCACAACAATGTAAGCTGTGAAAAATAAGAAAAAGTGGGTGTGGGCTATGTGGGCCTCTCTGTGCTATGTTTGCAATTTTTGTAAATCTAAAACTGTTATAAAATTAAAAATTATTGAAATAAATAGGTGTAGCAGACAAACCCAATAGAGAAACATTCTGCATGCAAAATATTTGTGAATGTCATGAAAAAAAAAAAAA